AAGCTTTGGAGGACCACCTGACACTCCTCCTGGTCTTGCTCCTGGCCACGATGCTCGAGGTTGTGGAGATGGATTGAATGGTTCAGCGAACACGATGAAGCCGCTGGACTCGGTGACAGCCACGCTGCCTGAGGCGATGCGCAACCTTGAACTACCCCCACTACCAGCACCATCGGCTGAAGAATGCGGCCCTGCTTTTTGGAGATTGGCTGACGGTGACCGCTCCGTTGATATTTCCAATTCCTGCTTTTCAGGTGTTTGCTTTGCATCCAGGTGTTTGGTGTTTGGGTCACATACGGCTCAACAGCTGACCAAGTTTGTGAGAAAGTATGGCTCAACAGCTGACCAAGTTTGTGAGAAAGCATGGTCCAACAGCTGACCAAGCTTGTGAGAAAGCATGGTCCAACAGCTGACCAAGTTTGTGAGAAAGCATGGTCCAACAATTGACCAACTTTGTGAGAAAACAAAGTTAAACCACTGACCAAGCTTGTGAGAAAGAAAACTGCAATGGGTGTATCGTATTCAGCTCAAACACGCTACACACACACATGGTTTAACTTTTTGACTGCTCTACGATCTATGAGTTACTCTCCTTAAGCAGTAACCATATTCTTTTAAAACCAGGGGCATCCGTCCGTGAGATTCCGTGAGTCATCGGTCATGGGCATTGCTCAAAACATCGCCCGCTTGGCAGTTTTTTTTTTCAAACGCGATCAGATCTTCGCAAGACATCAACCTAACAGTGTCCATGTGTCTCATGAGCCATGTGTCCGATTTGCTTTTGAACATGTGTCTCATGAGCCCCGCAGCCCTGCCATCTTTGTTTGTAAATCATGTTTTGCCATAGGTTGGAACATAGAATGCTTCAAACACCAATCCACTGAGTGTAGACGACGGCCCGTTCACTCTTTCACTCATGGTCGTTCTTCGTTCTTCGGCCCGATGGCCTGCAGAGGCACTTCGATCATGGCACCATGATGGCACAGCAAAGCAATATCAACCAATGGTCAAAAACTGGTGTTCCAACTTGTTGGCTTGTTGATTGCAAAGTGCATCAAATCCAATGGAGCCCATACTCTCAACTTGCCGTCAGGCTGTGATGCAAACATGGGTACTACGCCCTGGCCTCAAACATTCACGTCTTTGCATTCCAGGCACCTTTCAGAAGGTTTGCAAGCGGATTTGCTAGGAAGGGGTGCATGATGGTGCATGGACTAGTCGAATAATCCCTGGATCAGAGCCTGATCTGAGGCCATCTTCATTATCTTCTTTTGACTTTAAGGCCTGTCAGTGTTGTTGATGATCGTTGGGCATGGGGAGCCTAAGGGATAGAATGGGATAGATGTCCTGAGCATGTTGTTCCTTCTTGTTTTTGTTTCAAAGTACTACACTGATTTTTCAACCACAAAAAGCCGGGTCGAAGCTGCTGATTCAAGGCAGCCTGCAGGCTTAATTTCCAGCCACACGGAACTCAAGCGTTTTGATAGCTTGATCTCGAATATCAAAAACTTGAACCAGGGCGTGCCACTTGATGGCCTTTGCTGTGTCTTCCATGTAAACCTCATGGCTTTTCACAATATAACGAAGTTCTTCATTCCAGGTGACGTGGTTGTCAGAAGTCATCAAAACCCGGGTGTGGTACACCCAGCGCAAGATCTCACACAGAGCAAAGTCATCACCATCATCGATATCTGACATGGGTGAGAAGGGGCCCGAATCGACTCTGTACTCATACATATTCACTGGAAGTTGGTCCCAAGGCCAAGCAACACCTAAGTTTGGTGATAATGTTGTTTCATTGTCTTTAAGCAAAAACAACACCGATAAATGAGAGCGCGACCCATCACATCCTTCACCCGATCATTGTTGACGCCATTGGCAGCCATGACTTTGCGTTCACACGATCTGTGGGTTCGAAGCTGGATCTTGGAAAGAAAGAAAACAGCCGCTGAACTGTTCGTTTGAACAAGCACAACATGCATTTCCTTTGACGCACACACACAGCATGTTTTCCTTCCAGGATGGTCATCGAAGTCCGGTGCCACAGCGAGCCCCGACAGAGAGGGGCGGTCAGGATCAGCTGAACATTTTCACTAGCTGACACTTTCAAAAGCTGGTCACCCTGCACACCGCCCTCAGAAACTCTCAGAGCTGTGCACCACCCTGCACACCATCAACGGAGTGACGAATGAGAAGGGGTGATGGTGTTGAGACAAATTCCAAAGACATCTCGAAAGACAAACTTGAGACGCCTATTCCACATCTTCAGCAGCCTCATCAGCTTCCCCGGGTTCCTCCTCTTCCCCTTCGAAATCCCCATCCAAGTTCTCGGTTGCCGGGTCAGAGGCCGCTTCGTCCTTGGTCTCCTCAGCCTTTTTGTTTAGAGCCTCGCGGACCATCGTCTCCTGAGAGCATGTGAAAGATGTTTGAAAGCGTTTGATAGATGTTTGAGAGATGATAGTTTGAGCATTATAGCTACTTTCACTCATGCAAACAAAAGACCTTTAGCGACTCGGCAGCTTCGATGTTGCCCGAAGTTCGCACCAATTCAGCACGCATGGCAGTCTTAGAAGCAAACGTTCAGATCCATGTTTCAACATTGTTCCAACCATGTTTTTAGAAGCCACATGAAGATCTGATGCCGACAAATGGCCGCAATCTCAGACAATACTTCAGGTGAGATCCCATCCACGGGCTTCAACTCAGTTGCCATTGCTTGAAAAAGGATTGACAACTGGCGTCAGAACAAAACTTGTTTGAGAACTGGCTGCTGTATGAAGTGATACTTCTTCTTCCACTAAACGTTTTCTGCAACGAATGCTGCTGAAGCACGCGAAGCTTCTCTTGGCCGTTGATTTTGAATCCATAGATGCCAGTCTTATACAAGCCTTTGCCAATGGTCACCTTCTCATCCTTCCCAGGCTCACGGGAAGCAGCTGGCCTTTTCAAGGCAGGGGTGGAACCCGATGCTGTTGCAGGTCGTTTCTTCGGACTAGATGCACCTGAATCCACACGTGAGGTCGCAGGCTTCAGAGACTTGGGCTTTGGTTGAGTCTTAGCTTTCGGTACAGCCTGCGGATCCCCAGTCTTTGACAGACCCTGGTTAGCGCCATCATCAGACAACTCATCCACAGGTTGCAAAACCATGGCAGCACAAAGAGCTAGGAATCCGGCCATGTGACGCTAGTTCATTGAACCCAAGCTGTTACAAACTTCATCCATGAAAACTTATTCTCACTGGGATTTGTTCTTACCAATGCCTGCAATCCTTGCAGGAAGAGAGTTTGGACGAGCGGGCGCCTCAAATAGACTTTTGCCGACAGAAAGCGCTTAGTTTCAAGGCATAGGTTCACTCCCAGGCCGTTTCCAAAATCAGTGTGCAAGAGCAGCCAGGACAGATAATTTGCTTTAAAGCATTTTATATAAAGCTAACCTTGGAGAATCCACAGTGAGCCTGTCCACCCATGGCTAGCACAACTTGTTACCCCAAAAACACAGCTAGAGCTGCCAGGTTCACGGTTTCAGCCCAGCTTGACAGCATGTCCATCTTTGATAGACGCCGTACCCAAAAGATAGTACTTGGGCTTCAGCGGAGTCAGCACTGCTGGCACAGACTCTTCAACCTTCACCTGAGGCAAAGGGCGATTTTGCTGGCGAGCAGGGGAACACAGCTCGGTTGAAGAAGGTTGGACTGCTTCATGATAAAGCGTCTACAAAGTACTCAGCATTCATCACCATGTTTTAAACAATGATTTCTGTTGTTTGAGTTGTTTGCGTTTGACTCCACCATGCCTCCCAAACGATGCTGGCATTCTTTCCCCGAGGCAGCTGCGAGAGTCGCCCATTGAATAACGCACCCAGCTGGGGTGCCCGGAACTTGTTCACATTGGGTTGCTCCTTGACCAGGTCCTTGCCCTTAAATGCATTGACCATGGTGCTCGGGGTGACGACGTAGCGGTACTGCAGGGATCGATTTGTCCCATCAGTGGACACCTGAAGAGAGAGACAGAGAGAGAGAGATAAGGGTTTTCACAACATTCAAACTAGGATAAACTAGGAATGATCCGGTTTGCATATTCAGATGTTGTCATTCCTGTTTGATGCTGCAATCCCCGCCTGTGGTCTCAAGCTGTGGTCAATCACGCGTACTTCTGTGACGCCACGTTGCTTCGTGACATCGCGCAAGATGTCTGCCAACGATGTCAGCTTCTTGTCCACGGACAGAAGAGTTGCATCATGTTTCACGATCCAGGGTAGGTGGCCATCAACGCATTCCCCATCTCCTGTTCAGTGCAATTTGTAACGGACACTCCTAAACCACTTGAAGGTGAACTCACCTTTGAGGAACAAATCACTCCTGCTGGCACTTCCACGAAATTGCCAGTGTTGAATCCGAACAACTCTCCGGCAGGAATATCCAAGTCGGACCCACTCTGATTGTGAAGCCACACGGAGTTGTCGGATCCAAGGCACACGTGGACGCCTGGAACTCTGCCAAGGTCTGCTGAAGCGACCAACCTCGATTTGGTCAAGGGGATCTCGGGCAAGGGGATCTCGGTTGGTGAGGTTGCGCAGTGATGTTAACAAGAAACTGATGTCAAAGTGTGATGTTACAAGCCTAGCCACGTTGTGGAACTCTCGAATGCACTGGTAGTCACAGCAGTCAAAGCAAGCTTCGAGCGCACATTGGGGGGTCCATCACCATTCCATTCTGGGTTTGCCAAGGTCCGAGTCTCGGTGGCTGGCGTGGCACTGCTTGAAGGCCTGGTCGCTCCTCCATGAAAAGATTTCACAGCCTGGACAATCTCGGTGTCATCATTGATGCGTGCCATGAGATCCTTGAGATTGGGATGCCCTGCGAATTTTTGCTGCACCATATCCGGCAGCCTTAGAACCAGACCGTCATCAAAACTTTTGCGTACAACATTTGCATATTATATATATATATATATCAAAACTATCGACGCATATCGACACTGATTGACAGAAGAACAGACAACCTAGAGACTAACGCGTGCAAAGAGCTTGATTTCCCCTTCCACGATTGCCAAGCACTCCAGGGTGGGGAGCTCCCTGTGAAAGGGGCTCGAGGCACGGGACTTGGGGCCGGCCTTGTCAGACTTGTCCCAGAAGCCAGAGAGCGCTTTTCCAGCCAATGCATCACAGGATGTTGAAAGATCCTTTGCATTATCATCATGATAGACACCCAAGAATCGAACATTAAGGCTGGAGTCCTCATCCAGCAGAAAGGCTTGCTGAATCTCCCAGCACGCCAAAGACCATTCTGCGAACCTCCCAAAATTTGTCAAACGCCCATGGACACCAATTTGGCTAGAAGCTTCAAAGGACTGGCAGGCCTCGAAGGCAGCAAGTCGACCACCAACAGATTTTGTGGTTCCTTGGCCACTCCGCTGATGAGCTGCTTTATGATATTCACCGTGGCGCCCACTCCTCTTTGCTGCACCTAGGATTCAACTTTGCTTCACCTAGGATACGATGAAAAGTCAAGAACGGTTTGCTTTTCTTACATCGAAGCGCAAGCTAGGAACTCTCCAATGAGGGGCCAGGGCATTGTCCGGGTCAGGGTTCTGCAATTCCCCAACTCTGGATCGCTCAACGTCGGTGATTGACCCCAACAGGGCCTTGCTCCGGGCAAAGACTGTGGATGTAGATGAGCACATAGCCGCAAGGCCTGGGACCGGACATGACTCTTTTGTTCAGTTTACACTTTCCTGACGACTGCTGGTACATGCATGTTGTGCGTCAAAAGGGCATTGCTGTGACTTCTTTCTTTTGTCTCCTCCATGCTGGGAGTCTGTGAAGTGGAGACTGATCTCATACACATCCATGCACCTCAGAGCCACTTGGGGTATGACATATCTTGTTCAATGCCAACGCTTTACCTAATTCCAAATGAGACCAGGCACCCCCCCACTTTATCTTCTAGAAGTCTCCGGTTCTTGAGCACTGCCTCTCGCTTCGTTGAGGTGTGCATTTGCGGAAGACAGAAGAAGGCCATGCTGCGATTGTTTCCGCTGGTGATGGTCTGGGAGATGCTGATTGCCTCGTCAACTGATAGCTGACCTGGGCCGTCCCCATTTGAAATGACTCTTTCTAAGTTCCTGCCGGTGCATCACCACCAACTGTTTTGAGACTGCTTTGCACTGATATATGTTGTTTGGCAAGGTGCGGGATGGCCACAATGTGCAATCACAGATCAAAAGTGTCAACCTTAGTCAACGAAGTTTAACCAAATAAAGCCTGGTCAACAATGATGCATTGCCGTACTTACAACCGCTTCTCGACTATATAGTTTCAAGTTGAGGGACGCTTCAGGACCCATGTCTTGCTGCATACTCACGATCTTCGAATGAGAGAGCGCAAGCGAAGAGACATGAATGTTGGTGTGCTGATCTTTCGTGAAGAGGTGGAGCCAATCCTTGCCTCTCATGTAGCGATCATTGATGTGCTTGTAGTCCAGCGCACCCTAGACCGGATTTGGGGAGAGAACGTGTTTGAAACTCACAGCACATGTGTTCAAAAAGTGTTTCACCTAACATGTTCTATTCTATGCCATTCATCGACACACCTGCTGTTGGGCGTAGAGATGGAACTCCTTCTGCCAATCTTTGAGCTTCATCATGTCGGCATCGACTTGCAGCTGGCACTGTTGCCATGTCGTCTGGAGCAACTGTTGAGAAAGCCTGACAGAAATTCTGCGAAGTTCAGCAGTTCAGCACATTAATCTGTGTGTTGGCCACATTTTTTATCCGGGAAGCTCTTTTGCTTTGGAGCGGCGCTCGTCCTCCACCTGTAAAAACACAAGAGAGCCATTGATGTCAGGGTAAATGGGTGTAGATGATATGAATATCCAGGCCTGGTTTTGGTAGCGCTGGAGATGAGAACTAAAAATAGACACCTTTGACAACGTAGCTGGGGGAACCGATTGTTCCAGCATCAACTGGAGGTCTGCATCCCCATGTCTCAGCTCGAACCTCAGAGAAAGTCACATTGATTCTAGAGCCATTGGGTTCTTGATGATTCTACCTTTTTGTCAGCTGGGAAACGTTTTGTGGATTTCCACCAGGCAGGTGTCCGCAAAGGTGGATGGGACAGCAGCCATGAATTGATCCAAGCAAGCGAGAAAAGCTCCACATGAACGCTGCATCGTCTCCTTGGTTCGATTTCAATCTTGCACTGATCATTGAGGCTCGACATGCCCCATGACCGTGTCCGGACCCAAGATTAGAGTCAGTCTTACATTGAGTTGAGATTCAACCTCTTTCTGGTTCCATGGACGGCGCTGCTTGACTGGAAGCGCCACCCAGTCCTTTTCAATCCTGTTGACCAAAAGTCGCAGCAGCGGAACCGTGTTTGTCAGCTCGGCTTTCCATGGAATCCAAATTCCTGTCGCTGAGCAGTGTCCACTGTTGAACACGTTCGAGCTCACCGAGTCGTGCGTTAGGAAGCGTGGCATGCCAAATTTCCTGGAGAACCAAATCATGATTGAATTTTCATAAACTATCATCAACTCGCACAAAAACAACATTACAGGGAACTCTAGTTGACAGTGACGTTCCGACAAGCCTGGCCTCACACAAACAGTGAGCGCCTCCTTAATTTCCAAAGGAATCCTCCGCAGGAGGTTTGCGGCAGCAGCTGATTCCTGTTTGCCTAATGAGTAGGCGGCGGCAAATGAAGCAATGCTTTCATGCGCCTGGAACGAGAGCCAAGTTCATTGATACGCACTAACTGCTATATACTGCTATGTTTGATGGTGTCTCATGCAATGAAGATCACATCAGGCGGCCTCGAGGCATTGGATACTGTGCTCAGGCGTCAGGCCCCCTCGGACTTGCATCTCGAGCTGGTGCACAAGGTTGAAGCAATTAGGCTTGCGTCGGATCGTGGATCCAAGCGTGCAGCCTGCCAGATCACCCTCACAACAAACACACACATAGCATGCTTTGGATACAGAATTGATCGGGCACCTCTGTTGGTGTTGATGAGCTGAGTCAAGTCTGCCGTGGTCACCGTAGCGTGGATTGTAGAGAAGGTCCTTACAAACAGGCTGATGGTCCGTGGTGACTGTAGAGAAGGTCCGACAAGTGCACGCAATCACTGACATCAAGGGTTGCTGGCAAGTGACGCTTTGACGTTATCTGGCATGGCCTGGATCAAAAAGACTTCAGAAAATGTGCGCAGTGAGAAATTTGACAGAATAAGCACTGATCACTACAAGTATTTCCGAACTGCCTCGATCAAGGACGAGTCCATGAAGCCCGCAAGACATACGGCCAGGAATGACACGCTCCTGTTCCAACCTTTGACCATAAAGGTGCATCCAGGCCCCGCAAGATCTCCTTCATATCCGATGTCCTCCTTGGACACCTTGTGCATTGGCACCTCCAGCCAACTGCTGTGCACCATTGTCACGCAAACCTTCTCCACTCCGGGGAGGTTGGCATCAGTGAGCATGCCGTTGAGGAGTATCATCTGGCAGAGCGAATGTTGCACGTCCTTGCAGCTTCCGAAGCTGGCACTCAAACACGCCGAATCTCCGCAACGCAAAAGCACAACGCACAACTCAGTCAAATGACGGTGTCTGACGTTCCGCGTAGACCAAAGTCGCTTCTGTGAGCCAGTTGCCAGGGCCGAAGCAGTGCGCCCCCAACATGTCGAAGATCATCCAATGCCGCGTACTTCCTCATTTGCAGCAATCAAGATATGAACAGCGCAGGGTATCATTATGTATCATTGTAGGGATCCTCTCAGGTTTGCACTCACCAGGTTTTGCAGGAAAGGTTGTATCCAGGAACTTGTAAAAGCCCGCTGCGTTCGCCTGATCGCAAACATCGAGGTAGATTCAAAGCATAAAAAAGAGTTTGTATGTACATGTATGTACATATGAATGTATGATAATGTATGTATGTATGTATGTATCTGTCTATCTATCCCTGTATGAATTTATGTTTCTTTTGACATGCCACCCCAATGCCATAGAACAAAACTGTCCGGCCTCATCGGACAAGAATTCAGTCAAGACAGTGTCCAGTGTTTTTGGCGCATCAAGGACGTTCCTTTTCCTGGGCTGCAACACTATGATTGTCCAGATCCGAAAATTGTATGAATGACATGTACATTCCAAGTACATTCAAAGCGGCATCCATGATTCAAAGATCCCCATGTGTGGAAGGGCTAATGCATCAGCTGGAACTCCGGGTAGCTCACTCCCCTTAGCTCGCTGACGTCGCCCTCCGTGCGAAGCATCTGAAGGTCGCTTGCCCTTTGGAGGCATCGCAGGGCCTGGCAGCCGAGGCACACAAGGTTTAAAAAGAACTGCAGTGCATGGAAAGCCTAGGTTTTTGTGAAGAGATAGATTGCAATTTCGATTTGTTCCATTACGCACAGCTATTCCTTCTGGAAAGTCCCTGGTGCTGTGGAGACAACCCATGCTCGGAGCCATAGCTCCAAAGATCACCCGCGGGCATCGATTCTGTATAGGACTTTCGATTTTTGATTCATCTCTTCAGAAAACACACTGCTCGTGGAAGCAGTCCATTCGTGAAGAAAGACGACAGGTTTCTTCACAAAATCCATTGGGATCCACCAAAATCAATGCCGCACACAACCCATAGTGCTGGAGGATCATGGCAATCTGAGCTGCACCATACATTTTGTGAATAATGACGACAGCTTTCTTCACAAAACCGGTTGTGTTTGTAACCAGGAGATTTGTTTACAACAGCTCTTCACAAAACCAAAGTTGGGTGAGGGTTCCATTCACAGAGCTAATCCAAGAATCCCCACTTGGCATCCACTCCCACATGGAATTCAAGTTTACTGGGTGAGAAACTATAATCCACTTATAAGATCAAAGCTAGCAAAAAGGGTTCTTCGCAAAACGAATGTGCGGGGCTACCGTTCTTCAGAAAACTCTATGTTGATTCCGGTAAACAGCTCAGCCCCCAGACATTCCCCTATCGGTGAGACATGGCATCGGCCACAATGCTGATGGCTTCCTGCATAGGTACGCCGGACTTCCACAGCTGGGCTGCTGCGGAATAGAGGACCTGATTCCGCCTTGCTTCACGATACCGTTCTGCTTCAGATCTCTGCGGGCGTTGTCTCACGAGTCGCAAGGCATTGGGGGCCTCAGCAAGTCATGGGGTATTTTGGGGGTGACACCTGTGTCGCGTTTCGGTTGCCAAGAACGTCTAGCTCACAGTCTGAGTTGTAGACTGCCTCAAAGTCTCTGCCCCTATATCTCACAGCCGCTTGCACACCAGGACCAACGGCTGGTCCACGATATGGCAGGGCCCTTGGAAGAAAGCCGTTCTTCGACTTTGCGAGTGAGTGTGCGGTGCAAGACCCTGTAGCAGGAACACTGGAACTTGAGGGTTTCAACATGCATGGTTGTTAGGAATCTGACCAGCTCACATCCATCAATGGCTCGTGAGAGACCACCCCATTGGAAATATTTTCCAATTCTTGGGCCGCTGAGTGCATCTCGAACGGATACTCACCTTGCAGTTTGGTTCGTTCCATCATGAAGGAAAGCTGGAAAAAACATGAAAAACCAAAGAGTACTGAAACACATTCAAGCAATTCACGGAATCCAGCAGAATTGTTTTCTGAGGCTAAAGCGCATCATCGCGGCATACTTTTTGAACGCCTTGGCCTCCTCTTGGCTTGTGGTCTTGGGCTCAATGAAGACTGCCAGGAAGCATGCATCCATATGAACACACCAAATTGAAGCATGACACTTTATATTGGAAAAAAGTTGAAGGCTTAATCATTTGCTTCATCATACGGAGCCTGGTGGAGAGCCAACGCACGATTGGGCCACGTCATAGGGTAAGAACAATACCATATGTTCACTCCAATGCACATCGCTCATAAACCTCTTCGTCCTAGAAGGACAGCAATGCCGAAATGGACATAATTCCCCTGTGGTGTCCGTGTCACAGTCCTTAGGATCACATCCGACGGATGAGGTGTGTACGACACCTTCTTCCATTTCGTGTCATCGACGCTGGCCCGTGGCACGCCTAGCGCATGCGGCGTAATGTATACCAATGCACGGCGGAAGGCATAACAAAAAGCATACACACATCCAATCTTGATTGACATGTACCACACCTATGTCCCCAATCCGATCAAATCGAAAAAGATGCGGGGCACCGGGGCCGCCGCATCCTGTGAGATGGGCGTGGTCGAACTGGTCTGAAAAGAATAACTTCCTAGGTTGCTCAAAGATGAAGAGGACACTGACAAAAGGACAAGAGGACAAGAGGAGTCTACCACTTACTGTGAGGTTCAAGAGTCCAATCCCTGTACTGTGTGATCAGGTTGACCATTCGATGTCGCTGCTCGAGAGGGCGCCGTTGCCTGTCGGAAAACCACTCTTGTAGACACTGACGGAAGCTGTCAGGGGTCCAAAGTTCCTGATGCGACGCTAGCCATGCCCGGAGTAACGCAAACATAGCGTCAACGTCCTCATGCGAGTGACCGCTCGAGAGGAAGCCACACTCGCCAGCTTTGATCTTGGACATTGCTGTCCAGTACGCAAGGGCACGGAAGCTTGTATTGTTTTTGAGCTCTTTCGTGCAGTTGTCTGCTTGAATGTGGATGACGGCATAGCGAAGGTCAACCCGTGTAGAGAGCACACTCAAACCATTGCTCAAAATCTCACACGTTCTGCTTGAGTTTGAGGACACGTTGTGCGGAGATAGGTTCACAGTTACAAGGTGACCGTGGAATATCAAGCTGGTAGAGGTCAGTCTCGGTCGGTTGAAGGATGCGAAGTCCTTACTGGACATGTTTTTGCTCCTCGGCCACGAATGCTTCTGGGCATCCATACTATCGATGATCCCCGTGATGCAGTAGGTGAAGGGGTGGTTGGCTTGCAAACGTGACTGAGCCCTCAAATCCCAGTAGGACTGACGGTCGCGATGCTGGCGTGCAAGGTGTTTTTGCAACAAAGCCTCCTGTGTTCGCCTAGCAGCCGGACACTGTCCGAGTTTCTTCAGTATGAGCCGATGTCGGATACATTGTGAACACTTGCTGTGGTGCTTGGCAAACCTTATACGCAATCGATCATCAAAATCATCTTGCCACACCTAGCACGTTGGCAGTTTCAACGCTTCAAACATACGATACTGGTTCATTATGGTTCATTACTTACGTTCAGTCGCTAGTGGAAAAAAGTCCAGACTAGACTAGACAAGGCACAGAAGTCAAAAGTTTTTTGCTGACTTTGATCTCTGGCAGCGCTGCGATGCACTGAAGGTGGTAATCGTTTATGGATGCTGGCGGGAGATTTTTGATTCTTGTTCGATCCATCTCACGATCACGCCGATTGTCGCCTTGCCTGGGCCGCTTGTTGCTGTTCAGGCCATCAGGGATGAACTCCGCTGTTTCCAGGTAGAGTTTGGCGAGGAAGCCATGCACTTTTGAGCGTGCTTCTGAAGGTGGTTTCTTACCTTTGGGGATGTAGCGTGCATCGTATGGCGGTAATGCGAGACCTGATCGACTAGCTCGGCTCATACGAGCAAAGCGGCCTTGGCCGATACCCATAAGCTTTCTGAAACCACTGTTGCACAGTAAGCACCCCTCGTAAGACAAATGGCGGATGCCCCTGCAAGCAGAGTCGGTGGTCTTCCGGATGAGGTCAAACACCTGGAAATGGAATCTGGAAAATGGAAAATGGGAATGGGTGAGAAGCTGATGGCAGAGCGATAGTGATTCACACATACTCTTTGCTTTAGGGGCCAGACGTACTGATCTTTCTCCAACTTCGTCATCTTGTCGAAAAGGTTTCGCAGGTGCAACCATTTTTCCCACAAGGAGTAGTTTTCTCGAAAGGGAAGAAAGCAGCTAAGTGTGCAGCCACATGCTGACATAATCAAATGACGCAGTTTTTGAGGATCAGCTGTGCTTTGCACTAGATGTGGACTCCGCTTTTTGCCAGGTCTCTTGGACCGCTTCAAACCCTTCGCTGGAGGCACAAACGTTGGAACTGTGCTGGGTTTCGAGCACTCGTCATCGCTCAAAACGTCCACTGATTTCAATGGCATAGCACTGACCTCCGCTCAGCTGCAAAACTCATGGGTATCATTTGGTTTGCTCTCGCATCATGATGTCTTTGCTTTTGTTTGACGGGATGCAAGCCTGCCAACTGTCCCCGGGCAGGGTGAACGAGCCTCGTGAGTCACAGGTAGCCCAGAGTGCATGTTGAACGTATTTGCAAAAGCTTTTGCTAATCTTTGTTTCTTCAACTTCAAACCCGGGAGCCTCCGATCGGCAGAAGCACAAGTAGCAAGCGCGCAAACATTTGATGCTCGCAAGAGAATGATACTGTAAGCCCTCGTGTGTCATGCAAGAAACTCCAAAAAAGGAACTGTGTGGTTTAATGCGGTTTAGATTCAGGCGCCCTTGGCTTTCTTTGGGCAACATCCAAATGAATAGGTTGAAACATGAAACATGAAACTGTG